TGAAATCAGTGAGATTGTTCTGTAGTTTCCACATTCTGTTGGGTCACCTTTCTTTGGGATAGGAACTATATAGATTTCATATTCTTCTCAGTGTTAGCCATAGTTTGTTGTGATCCACACAGACAAATGCTTTTTTGCATAGCCAATTAAGCACAGACAGACATTTTCCTGGTATTCTCTGCTAGTAGCTAGGATCTATCTGACATCAGCAATGATATACCTGGTGCTGGTGTCAAGGCTTCTCCTAAACCTAGCTTGATCTTCTAGCAGTTCCCTGTAAATGTACTGGCTCAGTTGTTTTTTATAATCTTCAGCAATACTTCACTTGCATGTGATATTAGTGATATTGTTAGATATTGTTCACATTCTGTTGGACCACTTTTCTTGGGAATGGGAATATGGATTTTTTCCAATCAGTTAGCCAATGACTATATCTTACTTGGATCCACAATCAATACTCTCAGTACTGGCAGTCAGGAGATAAGCAGATGTATTGTTTTGGGCAAGATTACAGTCAGGGCCCTCTCCGAAATACACGACCAATAATGTCAGTTTAGGACTAAGGTGTACCTGATTCAGGCCATGGTCTTTTCAATCACTTGCTATGAATCTGAAAGCTGGACAATGAATAAGGATGGCAGAAGGAGACTTGAACCTTTTGAGTTATGGTGTTTGAGAAGAGTACCGAATATCCTATAGACTGCCAAAAGAATGAACAGGTATGTCTTGGAAAAGATGCAGCCAGAGTTCTCCTCAGAGGCAAGGATGGCAAAGTTCCATCTGTCATTTATTGGACATGGTGCCAGGAGAAGTTATTCCCTGGGAAGGGACATCAGGCTTGGAAAGGTGGAGGGCCAGTGAAAGAGAGGAAGATCCTCAATGAGATGTATTGACACAGTAACTGCAGCAATAGGCTTAAATGTATGAGATGGTGAGGATGGTACAGGACAAGACAGGATTCAAATTTATTCTTCAAAGAGTTGCTATGAGTCGTACATGACTTGATGGCACTGAATTATAACAATAACAATAACAACGCTCGCTTAGGGAGCTCTGGTAGAACTTGTATGAGGAACTTGTGCTGCTAATCCAAAGGCTGCACCTGCCTATCTGGCACTTCAAATCCTCCACCTCAAAAGAACAGTGGCTGTAAAACAATGAAAGAATTTTTCTTTCACTTTTTCAAGAGAGTAGTGTACTGGGGGGAGGGTTGGGAGGGGAGAAAAGTGCAACAATGAATGAATGGAAATCCAAAGTCTCCGTAAATTTTCATTGAAATTAATAATAAATTTAAAAGAAAAGGTGGTAAATCTTTCTCTTGTGATTTATAGCTGCAAAAACTTCACAAAGAGACAGCTGGTTCCTATTCAAAGAAAATAAAGAGTGAGAGAAAGAAAAGTGCTTAAGGAGCTGTGGCAGAATGCCCTGAGTGTGTTACACTGCTAATGAGAAGGCTGCACTTCTCCAGGGGTTCAATCCAACAGTGGCTTCAAGGGAGAAAGATAGGCAGTCTCCTCTTGTTAACTGTGAGTTGGAATCAACGTGATGGCAGTGATGAGCACACACTTGGCGCTCTGGTGGTACTGCAGGCAAAGCTCTGGGCTGATAACCAAAAGGCTGTTGCTTTCTGGTAACATCAAATCAGGACCAACTCATAGCTGACCCTCAGGTGGGTTTTCAGAGGCAGTACATCACGCAGGAGGAGACTGCCCATCTTTTTCCTGTGGAGCAGCTGGTAAATTTGAACTGTGAGCCTTTGGGTTGGCAGTGCAGCTCTTTACCACTAGAGCTTCTTAATCAAAAGGTGGTTGCTGGCAAGCTCTGGTGGCCTAGTGGCAAGAAGCTGCACTGCAATCTCAGCGGTACACGGTTCAAATCCACCAGATGCTCTGCTGGAGAAGGAGGAACAATCTCCTCCTGTATCAGTCAGATCTGATTTGACGGTACACACAAAAAATAACTAAATAAAATTTTTAAAAATTTAAAAAAATTTTTTACAAAGGTGGCTGCTGCTGTTGTATGTGCCACTGAGCTGAGTACAACTCACAGCGACTATATGAACAATAGATCTGAACCCTGTCCTGTCCTGTACCATCCTCATCATCACTGACATACTCGAGCTCATTACTACAGTCACTGTGTCAGCCCATCTGATTGAAGGTCTTCTTCTCTTTCATATACCTTCCACTTTTCCAAGTATGATGTTTCTCTCCAAACAACAGCCTCTTCTAGAAACAGACCCAAAGGTAGGCAGTTCTAATCCACCAGCTACTTCTCAGCAAAAGAGGAGGTCTTCTGTTTCTATAAAGACTTACAGCCTTGGAAACTCCCTAAGACAGTCCTGCCCTATTCTGCAGAGCCATTGTTAATCAGAAAGACACAGCAGTAGGTTAACACTCATCACTGTTCCTCACAGTGAGCAGCCATCTTTCTTTAATAAGTACCGTAACTCTGATTTGTCTGACCACAGGAATGTTCCTAGACGTCTTTGGTTGGTAGGCGTCAACACACTCTTCATTTACCATGTACCTTGAAACATAACCAGGGAGACTTGACACAAAGTGAAGCTCTAAATGAAGGCAAGACATCTAAATAACTCACCTGGCCTCAGTGATGCTGGCAATGTCTGTCCCCAGGGCATGGGGCCGGGGTAGAGTGCTGAGGAAGTGTAGGTTAGAGGGGTTGAAAAGGCGCACGGTGCCATCAGCACAGCCACAGAAGATGTAGTCTTGGCTCACAGAGATGCAGTGGGCCACTGTGGTCTGTGGGCAGAGAGGCTTCAGTCAGCAAAGGCTACCTGCCCACTCTTCTTCCTCATCACTTGTCAACAGTCACCTGCCAGCAGGCAGGGCCAAGGGAAAAGCAGACCAGCTGCTCTCATTGAAACCCCTCAGCTGTTTTCTAGTGGTGCCCTCCCATCAGCAGTAACGGGCCGAGGATTCACAGACAACCCTGCGCAGTTGGGGGCTAAGAGGTACCAGAGGGTTTGGCAAAGAAGATAAAGTAGGAAAAGCTCAGCAAAGAGAAAGACACATCATGAGAGAGTAGGGGCTAGGCACACTTACTGTGAAGCTGTCTGTGTTCTGAGCAGAAGAGGAAAGCAGGGGAAAGAGACAGATAAAGAGAAAGCAGAGGAGGCAATTATAGAAATCTCTGCGGGTTGTAATTAGGGCAAGCTCTAGGTCATCCATGCTTCTTCCTCCTGGTTCCCGTTCTGCATGCATGAGGGCCCAGACCCTGGTATGGAGCCACAGGCACCAGTTCTCCCCTGAGCTGAGGCAGGTGGTTCTACCCACTAGGATGGCAATGACAAAGCAGCCACTTACTCTTAATTCCACCCACTTGTCCAAAAGTCTCCGATCACTGAACTCGCATAACAGCCCAGAGGATGTGATACAGAAGGTGCTGTCCGCCTTCTTTCCACGGCCACAGGCCACATCAGTGAACAGGTTGTTCCGTAGCTCCCCCAGCAGGCCAGAGCGGCCCAGAAGGGGCACAGTGGCATTTACCTGTAGAGACACAATTGTTACCACTCATCCGTCTCAGAAGCTGCCCCTGGAAATCAGTCCCTGGAGAGAGAAAGTAGCAAGCCTCTCTCAGCCCAGACAGCAACTGGCTCATCCTAAATGTCCAGGTGCTGCTGAGCATGCAGAAAGGGGTGCCAGTGGAGCAGGATCTCCTAAGGGTGGTCCGGGTAGGCACTACCACTACTGCCTAAGTGCAGCATCTCACCTTTGAGGTCTTGCTGTCATCAAGGTACCAGAATTTGATGTGCCGGTTGCCCGCAGTAACAAAGTAGCTGCAGTCTTCAGAGAAGGATACAGCTGTTACCCGACTAGACACCTTGTTGGAGGCCACCACGATGTTTTTCTAGAGGGAAAGGCAAGGGAATAATCAAAGTTTTGTCTCTAAAGGCCAAGAGAAAAGAAGCTGTAAGCAGCATGGAAGAGAGTTAAGAGAAGATTTTTACTTGAGAAAATATTTCTTTTCAAGATTTACTATAAAAGGCAGCGGGTGAGGAGCATAGAATTGGTTTCTACAGGAATTGAAGCCATTAATATCCCCTAGAGGTCTTCAAATGCACAAAGCTAGGCCCTTCTACCAAAAAATTTTATATACAATTGTTCCCAGTTGTACCAGATCATATTTTTTTTTAATGGGACTGAGATCAGCAGGGTGAATTGAAGGTGTTCACATCCACAGCTTTTTGGCTCCCCAAATGGCCTTCTATTGCCCATGCAGCCACCAGACCAGACACACTCCACTCACCTTCCAGGCCCAGACATTGACGATCATGTCATGCTGGTAGCCCACGGAGACAATGTACTTGGCACTAGGGGAGAAGGCCACACAAGCCACACCATACTTATGCTCCTGCAGCTCTGCCACCTGGCTGCGCTCAGCCACATCCCAAACCCGCACGGCAGGCATGTGTCCGCTCTGCAGAGAAGTAAGGACCAGAAGTCTGCAGCTCCATAGCCATTCATAGAAAGAGCTCTCACCATGTAAGCTATTGGATACAATCTCTCTAAGGACACCATGAACAAGAGGTGAGAGTAAGGTATAGGGGAAACATGAAAAATGTCTGAGAAAAAAGACTGTCAATCAGAATATAACTCCAGGTTTGAGTTAAGTATCTCTTGGTGGAGTCAGTATATTTATATTTATTCAAAGCTCCTTAAGAGATGCTGATGGCAAGCCAAGGTTAGGAACCACACAACCAGAACCACGAGTGTTCATTACTACTCTTCCACCACCTCGCTGTAAGAGCCCATAGGAGGAAGAAATACTCCGCATGTGCCCAGCAGGGGGCCTCCAGGGGCAAGGAATATCTTGAGATTGTGTTTTTCCAAAGTACTTCCTAAAACAGCATCATCAGTTTCACCAAAGAACTTGTTAGAAAATGAAAATTTAGGGTGCCATCCCAGACCTACTGAATCAGAAACTTCGACAATGGATCCAGCAACTTACACTTTAACAAGCCTCCCTGGTGATTTCTAATGCACACTAAAGCTTATGAACTACCTCTAAGGTAGAGAAGAAATCAGGATTTGGCAGGGTTTTTTGGTTCAGGCAGTCAAAGTGGCAGTAGGCCTAACAAGGCCTGGGACCAGAGCTGTCTTCTAAGGCCAGGCCACCACCTCTCCCCAGTCCTTCAATCCCTCTTCCTCACTTACCTCTCCAGTGACCAAGTACTTGCCATCAGGGGAGAAGGCAAGGGCAGTGATGGTTTTCCTATAAGAAATGGGAGTAGGTTAGGAGTGACACCGGCAAGCTGACATAAGCCTGGCCCCTCAGAGCCCTTTCAAAAGGCAAGGCTGGCAAATACCAATGGTACCTGTGGTGATTCCCTGCCAGACTCTGGGGTTCAACTAGGTCACAGTGTCATAGAATACAGAGACAGTGCCATTCTCACCCTCCCAGGAGAAGGAGGTCCGGAGGACTCAGAACCCACTTACCTGGAACTGTTGAGGATGTGGTGCTGTTTGTGCTTCCGGGGGTTGAAAAGCACAACCACACACCTGAGGAGATGAGTGAGAGAAAAGTCTTAGCACTGTTCCCTCCGGAGATTTCCCAGGCCATCTGGAATCCTGGTCACCAGCAGAGGCAGTCGGGTGGAGCTAGCTGAAAGGGGCTCTACTTGCCACACAGGACAACTGATTCTGCTTCTTCCCAGCAACCAGTTCTTTTTGTTCCCTTTCCCCTTTGCTGCCCCATGAGGTGAAAGGGGTCCCTGAAAGCCTATCCTCATGCAGATCCCTGAGCACCAGCACCTCTCTGGTCATTTCCACAGAGTAGTGGAGACACAAGTCTTTCCATAGCTCTTGAATTTACCCCAGGAAGGGGTTCTAAGGGGAAGAATACACATTTGTGCAAAGGAAGATCTCAGATATTTATATGTTTACAGACATATTAAGCACTTGGGCTTCAAGGAGGAGAGAGGCCTCTCATGCATGCACTTATATGCACTTGGCAGAAGACAGCACTCCACATATTGGATAAAGAAGGGAGTGGAAGGCCAAGCCAGAGGGCCAGAACTGCAGAGAATTGGAGGGGTTTTACAGAGCTCCTGGGCTCAGGCCTGAGACTCCTTAGGAGCAGGGGGCTGGAGAAGGACCCTGCTGACAGCCAGAGACACCCTCTCCAGCTAAGATGCAAGAAAAAATGGGATGAGATCTAGAGGAAACAAGAAGTTGAGAGCCAAGAGTCCACACAGCTTCTCCTTTAGGGATTGTGGCTATCAGTAGACTCTGCTCCATCTGCCACTTCTCTGCACTGGCATAATTAGCAGCTGGAACCAGATGACAAGCTAAAGCCTGGCCTTTGCTATACCAGGTAAGGGGACCAGAGGAGAATGAGCAGAATGCTACTTCCTCAAATCCAATATCTTTTTAATGGGAAACCCACTGTAGGGCCTATATGTGAACCTCAATGAAAGTATAAGCTACTACTGAGTGCTTTTACCATCACCATTTATAAATACCTCATAGGTTCAATGAAACACTTCAGTATGCTAATTCAACCAGTAACCTCTTGGAATGCTGGAATCCTTGATGTATACAGGTATGCTGAGAATTGCTAAGCTGATCAACAGTTCTGAAAATACTGAGTTGCATCTTTTTCTCATCTAATCGCACCTCCTCCAAATTTTCAGTTTTCTTTCACTTTCTCTCCCTATACCCTTCTCTTTTCTTACTCCTCATTCCTTTCTTTAAACAGTCTTCTTTTTTTTTTTAATTTTTTATTATTTTGTGTGCGTGTACCGTCAAATCAGATCTGACTGGTACAGGAGGATATTGCGCCTCCTTCTTCGGCAGAGCATCTGGTGGATTCGAACCGTGCTCCTCTGGGATTGCAGTGCAGCTTCTCGCCACTAGACCACCAGAGCTCCCCTAAACAGTCTTCTGGTCCCCCTCCGGAATAAAAACTTGATAGCTAAAGATATTTCCTTCTTCCTAGTTTCTTTTAAGAGCACTCTAACATGTTGGGTGGGGGGAAGTGAGAGAAGACTAATTCTGCCAAAATAAAAAGGAACCCTAGCGGCATAGTGGATTAAGGATTGGGCTGCTGCCTGAAAAGTCAGTAGTTCTAATAAATATACAAGCCAATCTTTGGAAGAAAGCTGGGCAATCTCTTCCCATAAAGCTGTCCTTGGGAAAGCCAATGGTAGGTCAGCATGCATCAGAACTGACTTAAAGCAGTGGGTTGGGGTTTTGAAAGAATTCCTTCAAAACACACAGATTCACTGAACCTAAGAGCTGGAAGAAGGATGAAAATAAGGAATTGAAAGCATGGTGCACTGTTGTTATGTGCCGTCAAGTCAACTGTGACTCATCGTGACCCTGTACAACAGCTCTGAAGCCTGCCCTGCCCTGACTCAAACACACCTACCCCAATTGTCCTAGTTACTGCATCAGTCCATCTCATCCAACATCTTCCTCTCCTGCACTGTCCCTCCACCCTTTCAAGCATGATGCTTTTCTCCAAGGATCAGTACCTCATGGCCACATGCCCACAGTATGTGATGTGGAGCTTCAAAATTCCAGCCTGTAAGAAGAAACTTGGTTTCACCCTCTTCAAGACAGACCTATTTGTTTTCTTGACAGTCCATGGTATGTTCAAGACTCTTCTCTAGCACCATAACTCAAAGTCATCAATTCTTCTACTGTCATCTTTAGCTATTGTTCAGCTGTCTGATGCATAGTAAGTAATTGCAAAGACCATGGCTGGGACTAGATGCACCTTAGTCTCTTGACTGACAAAGATCACGTGGTCCAAAATGCAAGAAAAGGCAGCTTAGGCTCAGGCTCAGAAATGTCCCATAAACATCAGAGTTAGTCTTCCAACTTCCAATGCTCTTTGCCACACACACACACACACACACACACACACACACCCACCCATATGCCAAGAATCTTTGGAGGCTTCTGAACTCAAACTCCTTGATATGTCCAGTAGAACTTGCATGTCCTGTGCATGCAGAGTGCATGCAGGCATGGTCCTGGCCACTTTCTGTCCTTATCTTGCCCTATACTCCAGCCACATGAATTTTCTTTCACTCTTTTGAACTTGTTATGCTCACTCTCATTGTTGTTGTTGTTGTAGACTGCCATCAAACCAAGCATGACTCATAGCAACCCTATAAACAAAAGAACTGAACCCTGTTCTATAACTATCGTCACTTCTCTAAGTTTATAGTCTCCAGAGGCATGTTGTTTAGGAAGTAGATGCCACTCTTGCTTCCAAATCTGTCTTAATCTGAGAGTTCCACCAAACCCTGTCTACCATGGGTAACCATTATGGCATTTGACACACCAGTGGTACAAGGTTCATCATCCCAGCAACCCCAGGTTCCCTCAGTACAACAAATTGACAGACCAGTGCTGTTCCACTTAGAAGACTGTTCCTCTAAAATATAATAACACTAGGCAATGAGAACTGCAGGCCCTTAGGCCTAACTGACTTTTAAATTCAAAGGCCCTCCACCAGGTCCTGTTGACTCCAAACAAGAGGTTTAAATAAAAAACAATCAACTGAACAATCTCTCTCATTACAAGGCCTGTATATATATATACATCATTTCCACCACCTAGACCATTCTTCACAATCCTCTTTAAAATCTCAGGTCAAATGCTCTCATAACAAACGATATCACAAACCATCTATTATAATACTTACACACAATTTTACTTTATTTTTTTATTGCCTCTCACGTTACACTGTGCATTCCATGAGGGTGGGAATTATGCTTGGTTTTGCTCTGTCTCCATCTGGCAGTCTGGCCCACTGTTATTCAATAAATGCTTACGAAATGGGTGAATGTTTCCCTTAATCCATTAACTCAGTATCCTGGGGCATCAACAGGCTCCATCTCCTCCAATCTATCCATTCTTCAGGGCAGGACCAAGATTTCCTAAATCCTCAGAAATATTGTGGTCCTGAGAGTCTGAGACTAGAATTTGAATACATGTTCTGCCACATGCACCTGAGTGACTTTAGGGACACAAGTTTCCTTATCTATAAAAAGAGAGACGCTCTGATCTAGCTTAAGGCTTCTGTTTTTAGTTAGGTTTTTTTTTGTTCATTTGTTTACACATAGTGGAAGTCAGCCTGTAGTATCAATCACTAGTCCTGGGGCACTGTAAGGGTGCTCCTGGCAGTTAGGGCATGGTGATAAAGAACTATCCCAGGTTCTGTTCTTTAAAGTGCACAAGTCTTGTTAGGATCTGTGAAATAATAAAAACTTTAAAGCAGTTAATTTTCTTTTCCCCCCTTCTGGGAAGGCAGCCAGGAAAGAGGAGGTGAGTGAAGCTAAGGGAAGAAAATATCTACAACTTGATTCACTTAGATGATGAGGTTGGAAGGACAGCAGTGCAGAGACATGGAAAGTTCATGGAAATGACATCTCCTGGCTAAATTATAAAGCACTATATGAGAGTTTTATTGAACTCTAAACATGAAGGCTTCCACTTCCATTACTACCTGATCTATTTCTCTTCATATTATTTGGGGCCCATTAGGGAGAGTAGCCATTTATCAAGTACTTTTCATGTACCAGACATCTGCTAGCACTCTAGCCATCTGATCTTACTTAACCCTTACATCAACCCGTGGCATCAGCATAACTGTCCCCACTGTAGGAAGTTCTGCTGGGTTTTTTATGTTTGTTTTGTTTTTTAACTTTATTATTTTTGTGTGTACACCGTCAAACTGGATCTGATTGGTACAGGAGGAGATTACCCCTCCTTCTCCAGCAGAGCATCTGGTGGGTTCGAACCACATACCTCTGGGATTGCAGTGCAGCTTCTTGACACTAGGCCACCAGAGCTCCCGGGAATTTCTGCTGTTAACTCAAGGGTGGCACCTCTCTGGCAGTTAGAATCCACCAACAGCTCCACAGGAGAAAGACAGGCTTAGATTTTAATACTTTATTCAGTGCATAAGAAATTTTGCCTGCCACCACCATGAAAAGGCCAGCAATTTTTTAAATGGTGACATATACTATTTTTGAAGACCTTCATTTCAGAAGTGGATGGCCAGCCTTGCTTCTTAATCTGTCTTAGTCTGGAAGCTCCATTTAAACCTGTCCATCATGAGTGAGTTTGCTGGTATTTTAAATACTGGTGGCATAGCTTCCAGAATCACAGCAACATGCAGATCACCACAGTATGGCAAACTGACAGACAAGTGGCAATCTCATCTTTTGACTGTGTGGATCATAAATTATGACAAACACTAAGAAAAATGGGAATCATAGATCATTTTATTGGGCTCATGTGAAAACTATACATAGACCAACATACAGTTGCCCTCACAGAACAAAGGAACAATCATTGCATGGTTTAAAATCAGGAAAGGTTATGTGTCAGGGCTGTACCCTTTCTCCACATGTATTTAATCTGTATGCTGAACAATTCATTCAAGAAGCTGGACAACATGAAGAAGAATGCTGCACCAGGATTAGAGAAAGACTAATGTATTAAAAACTCATGTTAGCAAACCTTGCTTGCAGAACTGAGGA